GTTGGGGAGGGGTGGGGCATGGGGCACAGGGGGCCATGCGATCACAACAGCGCTCGTCAGGGAGTGTGCAGTGATCCAATGATTAATAACTAAGCCGAGCACAAACTGAACTGCATCGCACCCCATCAGCCTCGAGAGCGTGCCCACTGGAATTCACCCCCGCTGGTCTGGCCGCCGCCGCGCCCATGTGTCCCTCGCCCACGTCCCGACTCCACCTGGCCTGAGCCCACAACCTTGACGCCATCGCCACGCTGTGCGAGCGCCTCCTCCTTGCTTCCTTGCCTCCCTCACCGATCTCTATCGACGACTCCACCCCACTCCTGCCCCCTCATCCTCCTCAATCCCAAAAGGTGCGCGTCTACACCAAGCCCAAGGGCAAGCTGCCGGACTTCAACGAGCCGGTGGTGCTGCGGCGCACGCAGTGCTCCATCGAGGGCTTCTGCAACAAGCTGCACAAGACCATGATCAAGCAGGTGGGGGGCGGGGGAGGCTTGCGGGCAGGAGCGGTTTGTGTCGTGGTGACGGACAGGAGACTGCAGACTGGGGTGCCACGCACTCTTTTGTGCGCCAGGCTGGCGTTCACATACACTCGTGAGTGCGCATCTGACCTGGTATGCTTGTGCTGGGGTTTCATACGAGTGCAGGCGCGCGCACATACGTGGTGGCACACACAAACGCACGCACGCACACAAACGCGCGCGCGCACACACACACACACACACACACACACACACACATACGCACGCACGCATGCATGCATGCACCAATGCACGTACACACACACACACACACACATGCGCGCACGCACGCGCATGCATGCACCAATGCACGCGCACACATACACACACACACACACACACACACACACACACGCATGCACACACACACAAATAAACACACACTGCTTCTGCCCTCACCCCCTGGTTGCAACCTCAGCTCAAGTACGCCCTGGTGTGGGGCACCAGCGCAAAGCACCGGCCGCAGAAGGTAGGGGCGACAGAGCGCTCACCCTCACATCAATCGTCAGTCTGTGATGCGTAACATCACCACTGGTTGCAATGAGCAGTCCGCCTTCCCGGTTCTCTGGGGGAGTTTCCGACTGGATCCCCTGAGTCATTGCTGCCTGCAGCCTCATCGGCCACCTGTGCTTTGACCATCCTGACCGCCCACCGCCCAGGTGGGCAAGGACCACGTGCTGACAGACGAGGACATCGTGCAGATCATCAAGAAGGTGCGGGGGGGAGGGGTGGAGCACTATATGCACCGGAAGGGGTTGTGTTGGGACTCAGGTCGAGGAGCTATGGTGTGGACAATGGCCGCGCCAGTTGCTGATGTGCCCCTCTGCCTTGCATCCACCTCCTTTTACCTGCAGGTGTGATGTGCATGCGTGCTGCATCGCCCCTGGCGTTGCTGCATGATGAATGTTTTGCTACTGGGGCGGCGTGTTGTATGTACATCATGTAATACAGTTTCAGGATTGTGATGGTTACATCGTCCTGGGGTCGCCCACCTCTCAAGCAATCCAGGGTACTGGGATTGATATCTGAAGCATCAGCGTTGTGTGACTGGGATTCACGTCGCTGCTTTTTGCGCTGTTCGAAGCAGGCGTGCATTGAGGCCCCTAGTGCACGCACTTGCCACTCGCAGCTCACCCCTGCAGGCTGTGCTGCTGCATCTCACAGCCTCCGCATTATGCGACCCGTACCAAACAAGTTACGAAAGGCAAGTACATACCGAAGTGGCCGTACAATTACCCGATAAAGTGGTCGGTAGACTTCAGGGTACAGGAAAATTTCCGGGGAGTATCCGAGTAAAATTCAGGGGCACGTGAAAAGTTGCCCTGGTAGTTACTTCGATGATCTGAGACATTACTAGCACGGTTAGGGATTTTGGAACCTTCTCAGCCCCAGGGGCGCACAGCTGGCATGGCGCTCACTTGCGGCACACCTCTCTGCCTGCACCGCTGTGCGGCACACCGTTGCGGCACCCCGGCCGAGGGTAGCAGTGGGCCGCCGCCAGCCACGTAATCATTAGGGCCACCCTGATATTCACCCTTGGCCAGCCACGTAAAATTTCGGGACGGGTAAAGTTAGGAACGGCTGAATTTTTGGCCCGGGTAATAATTACTGCCGGGTAACATATAAGGCCACTACGTTGCGTGAAGTGCGTGCCGCCGTTATGTCGATGCCCAGATGTTGCACAATGTGCATTTGGACGTTGCACAATTTGCAACATGAACCAAGAGTCACAAAAGGAAGCCACATGCGAGGCACATGGCCAAGCATGGGCTTTTAGATGCTTCAGGGGTACCTACCTGAAGCATCTCTCAGGTCATCAACCTGATCCCCAACCCTGATCCGGCAGCGCCGGGGGCCAGGCCTCCATGTCCCTCGCCACTTCTGGGCAGCCAAGGGCATCCCAAGGAGTGTGGTTTTCCCCCCGTGTTTAAGGCACACGGAGAAAGCCTGCCCTCCCGCAATCAGGTTCGAACCCATTACCTGCAGATACTTACACGACGGGCGAAACCTCTCAGCTACGGTTGTACTCCCCACGATGGCGACCTGCGATGTTTCTGTACAGCTCTCATCACTATATAAAGCTCAAAGGCGTGGAAAATCCACATCCGGGCGTTAGCGGTTGGTCACAGTGGCGGGAGGAGTCTAGCTGGCCTAGACGAATGTAACAGAGCAAAGCAAAGTTAGCGTGCGCCTGCTTTAACCCCTTGCCTGCCAACAGCAGAAATCAATTCACTGCTGCAGCCTGGGAAATGGTGCTGTGGCTGCCTGCAAACCGCATGGATGGCGCAGGCACCCACTAGTTAGTTGTTATACATCTATATCCACCTCTTGCAGGCGGCATACAGTCAGTTTTCGCTTCTGCCGGGCACCCCAAGCAGTAAAGCGATCTGCTGCCCCTGCGAGCCGTTCACGTATAAGCTTGCGCATACAAGTAATTCTGTACTATATAATTTTTTTCACGAAGCCAGATAGTGACCAGAGGCCGTGGGACGTCGACCCTGCCTAAGGGTGCCAGACCTGCTTGATGCTGAGGCGTGTATAAGGCAAGTTCGCGTTTGGCAGACGATGGCTGTTTGATCAGTGATGAATACTAGCCGAAATCAGGACGCGCAGCTGCCCAACCAGCAGTCGCGGGGAGGCATGGATGGCGTTTGTTTCCAGGGGTCATCTGAGTTGCAGTTTGGTTTTGTTTCTGTAAGTGGATGCCCGGCCCGGCTAGCTGGGTCAGGGGTAACTAGACTCACTTCCCGATCGTTTGAGCCCGGCCGGAGCTCAAACCGTGCTCTGTGCTGTATGAAAGGGCTCGCCAAAGTGGGCTGAGTACTCAATTTGAGTACGCTGGCAGGCAAGGGGTTAACCGAATAAATGGTCCGCATTTTTTTCAGCTCCAAACCCATACGGTAAAACGTACCGTATACACTATGTATAGTGTATTTACACTCTACATAGGGTAAATATCATAGAACAACCGTCGGGCAGTTGCCGGGACCCCCGCGCCCGTCCATACCGGGTGCCCAGCGCCCGGTTCACTCTACTCTACTAACAACCGTCATCCCTCCGGAAGGTCGCATGCACTGCATGATGCCCGCTGGCACGTACAGAACAACGCGGTATGCGTGTACAGTGCCCCTATTGTCATGTATCACTTTGTCTGCAACTGCGTTGCCACACGATCGGTGCCACCGCTGCCCCTAACATGTTGTGTAATTATTGCGTCATCGTCAGGGCAGTATTGGTGCGTGCGTGACACAAACCTTGATTCAGATGGCTGAAAGAGCAGTAGGGCCGGCAGCTGTCCCTGTGGCACTAGCCAGGCGAATCATTGCTACCGCAGGTTCGCTTGCACACCCGCACGCCAGAAGGACTGCAATGGTACAGCGTCCTGCATTCGCCTACTTCTGGACCTGTCCAGGCTCATGGGCTTGGACCTTGACACAAAGATTTATCTTTGCACAGAAAGACAACCGCAACAGCATTGCCACCTGCACGCACGGCAGCAAAGCAAGGGAAGTTTTGCTCCTCTTCAGCCGTTTGTCCTTTGTGTGTCATTTTTGGGTGCTAGCGCATCACCGCGCTGCACACTTGGTCATGCGGGTGCATCCTGCGCCCTGTGCCCTTCCTGCGCTTTGTCAGAGCTTGGCGGCTGTCCGCCCTCTATGCCAACGCGCCTGCCTGACTGATGCGGTGTATCCGGCCCGCTGCGGGGCGGCATGGCGGCGCGCGATACGGGCGCGTGCAAGCGCACTTTGAGCTTTGCGGCTCTCCGCCCGCTGCGCCAACGTGCCTGCTATGAGTCACGGCTGATGCGATGGCGCCCGGGCGCGCCAGTGCGCATGATACAGGCAAACCCAAAGTCAAGCCAATTATCTGAACAGTCAGTGATGAGAACGATTACGACAATTACAGCGTCCAGCGGTCGCCCGCTCATATGACATGTGGTTCATCTTCCAATCAACGGACACAGTGCTGCAAAAACCAAGTACATCTAGGGTTTTGAGCAAGCAAGATTTATTCTTATGGCAGCTGTCAGCCCTCTGCGCCACCTGCATGATGCTTGCGCTAGTATCTTGGATGCATCCCAGCATACGTGCAGGTATAACTCAGCCGCTCGAGCTGTGCCGCCGCTTGCCCAGCGCCGACGCCGCCAGGCTCACCAAGCTGCGGCGGTTGGCTGGATCGTGGCCGCGGCAGCCCGCAGTTCTCAGCTCTGCCAGGCCCACCACGCTCTCGAGCACGTGCCAGCAGCAGTGCAGGCACGCGTCAATGGTGTTTGCGCCTGCAGCCACAATGGTTCCGTGGCCGCCTGGACGCGGCAGCTGGTAGGTAAAGATGGTGACACCCCTGTGGCCAAAGTTGGACTCCTTGACCTTGAGCATCTTGGCGGCGTCCCCACCGTAGCTTACCACATCCTGGTTGACTCCGCCAACTGTTTTCCCCGCAACAAACTCAATGCAAAGGGGTCCCAGCTGGCCTGCCTGCAACGCCGCCACCAGGGCTGCCTTGGTGGTAAAGTGGTGCTGCTTCACACAGCCGGGGTCAGCACGCTTGGTACCTGCAGTGCTGATGAGCTGCAGCTGGTTGGCGCTGACACCGGCGTTGGCCATCGGTCCCTTGCCCATCAAGGCGTCAGCGGCCAGCACATTTGCCGCGCCCGAGGTCTCTGAGTACAGCCTCCACTGGCTCGTGTGCGCCTGGCCACCACCACCACCCGCCTTGCCCCGATTGCCCGCAAGGCCCGTGGCACCGGGCTGTCCAGGCTGCTGCTGCTGCTGCTGCTGCTGCTGCTGCTGCTGCTGCTGCTGCTGCTGCTGCTGCTGCTGCTGCTGCTGCTGCTGCTGGTAGTGGTGGTGTGGTCTAGACTGTAGCATCCACAGCTGCTGCATCTGAGCCTGCTGCGGCGACCAGAGCAGCTGCGGGTAGGGCTGCTGCGGCCCAGGTTGCTGCAGCCCGGGGTGCTGCGGCCAAAGAACCTGAAGCCAGGCTTGGTTTTGGCAGGGCATGTGCAGCTGCTGTGGCCACTGCAAAACCTGTGGCCGCTGCAACCCCTCCACCCGCTGCTGCTGCTGCTGCTGCTGCTGCTGTTGCTGCTGCTGCTGCTGCTGCTGCTGGTGGTGGTGGTGGTGGTGGTGCCACTGCTGCTGCTGCTGCTGCTGCTGCTGCTGCTGCTGCTGCGGCTGCTGCTGCGGCAGAATCTCCACGACCACTGCGCCATCATTGCCCACCTCAAACCCAAAGGGCAGCTTGACCGTGTGGGTAAGGATGTCCTGCACCATGTCCCGCATGCGGCACTTTTTGTCCAGGTTGTGGTTGCCGCGGCCTGTGATGATTTGCAGCAAAAATCCAGGCCCGCCGCGGGCTGCGATGGCCTGCAGCAACCGGATCACCACCATCACCCTGTCGAATGCCCCGGGCATGGTCAGCCTGTGCGTGTCGATGATGTGGAGCACGGGCTTGTCCAACCCGCCGCCGTGTCCCTTGGAGATGGTGTCGCAGTGATTGCGCGGGAATCGCGCCACTGGCACCGCGTATTCAGGCACGTCGCCGACGCGCGGCCGGGAGGGATGCTGCTTCACGGGGTGCGGCCACTCCACTAGCTTGACAAGGACGGCGGCATCGCCGGTCGGAACGGCATCATGCTTCCACGTCCGGCACAGCTCCGCCACCTGCATGGGAGAATCAGCTGAATCAACATATAGAATACTAGCACAAATTTGCAGAATGTGTCAGGGTAACGCTTGCAGGACATGATGGTGGCTGCTCAACCTGGCGTATGTACTTATCCAAGCTTGGGAATACGTGGTACCCCAGCTACTTCCAAGCCACAATGTGCCTGCCGCGGCGCGCATCGATGTTGCCACCCAAGTGTCCCTGCTTTCGTACTGTGTGCTTGCCTACCTCCTGCGCCCTGGTCGTGTGCAGTGTCAGGTCTGTCCCCCCGCTTGTAGTGCACTGGTGCACCCACTGCACCAGATCACGTAGTGATTTGGGCTTCTGGTATGCACGGGAGTCAACGCACACGCTGGGGTAGTTCTTGTGTTTGAGTTTCGATGCCCTACAGGTTCACACGCGCATTAGGTATGCATTTTGTCAGTTGTGTGGGTGAGGGATGTTGTGCATGTTGTTGGGCACTGCAACACCTACTGTCGCCAGACATCAAATTCATTTTGCCAGAGTCAATCAACTGCACTACAAAAGCGCGCCTGTGGCACATGCCAAAATGAAAGGCATCATGCACGGCGTCACACACAGCCAGCAGCCCCACAAACCTGTAGTGTAGGGCGTCGGCCTCAGCGACCAGGCGGTCTGCTTTGCGGGGGTCGAATGTCACACGGGCCTGCTTGTGAAGCTCGTCACCCTCCTTCCTGCCATGCACAAGGGCATGATGCGTGGGGAAGACATCAGTCGTGCTATGTGCATGCTGTATAAAAACAGCCGTGCGTCAAGAACCACCTGCACCTGCCGGCTGCAAGCGCAACGCTCGCAAACCACGCCTTGGTCAACGACCCTGCTCTCCACTCGCCAGCCCCCCTCTACCTTGCTTGGCTGCCTGCAAAACATCCATCTTGCATCCTCAGGAACCTTTGCTCACCGCAGGCGGTCGCATTCCGACTCTGTGTCACCTGGGCCGCTGTCAGACGAGGCCTGCGCCACGGGTGGGCTTGCCTGCTGCGTCGGCTGGCCCCCTGGTTTGGCACTGTAGTGCCGCTTGTTCTCGTCAAACGTGATGAGCTCACGGGGCATGCTGAAGCGTCAATTACACGAAAGGTTCTTCCTGTTATGCCTGCAGGGCCCGGAAGACACTGGGCAGCGCTCCGCTGTTGACGGCTACGCGAGCGGTTTGCGACGCAGCACCACCTGCCATGGCGCGTCTGCTGCCAACACCCCTGGGCCGTGGAAATGAGAATTAAGTCGAGTCTGATTTTGTTTTGTATGTGCTGTTTCGACAACAGACACGGGCGTGGCCGTGTGGAGGTGTCGAGCGATTCAGCGGACAATGACAAGCAAAGGACGTTGAAATAATAATTATAACGACACCTTGAACACAGAGCTTTAACGATGAAGGCGACTATGAACAAGTTGGCAAGCACCATGTTGCATCCGCCACGCGCTTTTTAGCGCGCGCTTCCCCGCTGCCTGCTGCGCGATCGCAGCTGAATACCTCATCTTCCCTGGCCCTAAAGGAACATCACAGCAGTGCCGAGCAGTAAGTATTTGCTCTGCTCAAGCTACGGTTGGGTGCATGCTGACTCACCCTATCTTGGGCGTAGAAAGTATCCCTGTGCAAGATAGTTTGACCCCAAGTTGACCGCCTATTTGGAGTGTCAGGTGTTCTTGTCAACCCCTGAACTTGTTACGATTGACAGATATACACCTAAATCAACAATTTCTGCAACACAGCCCTCCTGCAGCCCTCTCCCAGCACTATGGTGGCCAACAAATCACACCTGCCACCGTGCACCGCCCTGCCACATGCGTGTACCACCACTGCAAAACACGATACTCCAATCCACGCGCTCTGAAACTCTTCCCGCTCATCCAGACATTGGCTGGCGGACACCAACCCGCCAAGCAAGAAAGCCGCAGAGCGCACCGCACCCCTGCCAAGCTGCTTGGTCGCGCGCCGGTGGCGCAAACGCTGCCGTGATATTGATGCCGGCAGGGACGATAGAAAGAGCGATCTTCTGTGCGATGAGCGGGCAGCGTGCCGTGGGCGGCCTCTGCAGGCTGGAACCCCGGCGATAGCGCAACGCCGCCCCTGAGCCCTGGTGATTGCCAGGCAAATAGTAAAGAGGGGGCACGACAGGTTAAGTGTTGTTCAGCTCCAATCCGACACGACAGCACGCAGGTCAAGCCGCCAATTTGCTATGGCGCCACGACAGGTGCACCTGACTGCCGTAGAGATGCTGGCCCGTGGCTGTATGCCCAGCATGAAATGAAACTGCCAAGTGCGCGCTGCCGCTGCTCAAGGCCCGAGCTTAAACGGCAGGCAGGTTGCCTCAGAGCAGGCCAAGAGACGCGTAAAGCAGGTGGACCACCCCCCACTGTCCCCTGGCTCACCTCGCACCCCGGCCAGCCCCACACCGTGCAGGTCCCCGTCCAGGACTCCCGATACCGCCTCCAGCACGCCAGAATACGCCGGCCCCAGCAGCCCCCCATCATCCAGCGCAGCAGCAGCCGCGCTGCTGTCAGCCAGGGGGCCGGCGCGGCGCCGCTGGTTATGAGAGTCGCGCTGCTCGGGCGGGGCAGCGGCGCTGATGGGGCGCCGGCCCCTGACGAAAAGGGATGCCGGTAAGAGGAAGGCCTCACTCCAGCAGTGGGCCAAGAAGACGCGTTTGGGCCTACAACGGGGGAGGGGGAAGGGGGTGGTGTGAACGGGATGCAAAGGTTCAGCGGCAGCCGCGGCAGTCGATCCCCGCCTGACGTTCCTGCCAGTGAGGTTCACGCAGCGGGGGAGCCGGCAGCACTGTCGGAACAGGTGCAGGGACCGGAGGTATGTGGCAACAGCAACCACGCCCAGAGCGGTTACTCACCTGGAACCATGGACGTATGGCGCAAGAACTGTCCATCCCAAAGCAGCGCTGACAAGGCGCGCAACGGCAAGGCGGCTGGCAGTGAAACGGGTCTGCGTTGTTTCACGTCGGCTTGCCGCCCGCCCGCCGTCGCCGCTCCCCCGCCGCTGCCTCGAGCTCATCAGACGCCCCTGCCAGGAGCCCCAGCACCGCCAGTTGCCGCGACTGCACACCCGTCAGGCTCGCGCGGGCTGCGCCGCTCAGCGGCGTGACGTGCGTGGCGACGTGCGAAGCCCAGAAGGCGGCGCGATAGTCCCGCTGCGCTGCAGCAGCGGCGGCGGCAGCAGCAGTCGCGCGCTGCTGTGCTGCGGGGTCAGCCGCAAGCTGGAATGTCACCTCTGTGCCCTGCCGCAGAAAAGTTGACTGCTGGTGCTGCTGCTGGTGCCGCTGCTGGTGCTGGTGCTGCTGCTGCTGCTGCTGCTGCTGCTCGTGCTGCTGCTGCGGGTGCTGCTGGTGCTGGTGCTGCTGCTGCTGCTGCTGCGGCTGCTGCTGCTGCGGCTGCTGCTGCTGCGGCTGCTGCTGCTGCTGCTGCGGCTGCGAGGTCGCATCCTGCTGGCTGGCGGCCTCAACGTCCGCAATGCCAAACGCGACGTGCCTGACCGTGGCGCCGCCAGCGCCGCCGCTGCCGTCATCCAGGAACCTAATCAGCCCGTTCCGCAGCCTGGCCGCTATTGCCGTGTTGCCCGCTGAGGGCGGCCGCGCGGCAGTTGCCACCACCCCGACCAGTGGGGTGCCGATGTTTACATCACTGTCCCTGTCGCCACTGGCTGGTGGCAGCAACAGGACGTGGTCGGCAACGGGTTTTGCAGCTGTGCTGTGCGGGGCAAGCCGGAAAGCCACCTGGTCGCCGACGGCAAGCGTGTGCGGCGCCGTCGCTGCTTCGGCCCCGGCTTGTGCTGCTAGCTCAGGGGTGCCCACTACTGCGCTGCCATGGAAGAAAACCTGGCGTCCGCCATGCTTCCGATCGGCTTTTATGAAACCGAATGACCTTCGAATGCCTGAAACCGTGCCCTTCAAGTATTCATCAGATTGTGGCTCGTGATCTTGAGCTGGGAGCGAGTTGGAGTCCTCCATCAGCGTATACAGCTCCGAATTGTTCCACTTAGTTGAAAACTCTGAGGCAGCGGCAGGATCTGCGTGCAGCACACATGCTGTCATCACTGCTCAGGGCTGTAATTGCCCGACGAATTCCACAGCGAATCTGGGGGGGGAGGGTTAGCGCCAGCGGCGAGGCGCGCGGGGGCCGGCTGGGGGCGCATATACATACTGTGTGGGGCGTTCAACTGCGCCAAGCAGGGTCTCAGGGCGCCGACGGCCTGGGTAGCGCATCAGGCCTGTGCTTGGCAGGCTGCGCCTTTGCCGGCAGGAGGGCGTCAGCTTTTGCGCAGGTGACACTTTCAATCAACTGGTGACAGAGGGGTGAGCCCCTGCAGGCGTTGTGCAATGACTTGTACGTGCTGATGTCATCTGTTTTTCAGAATACCATGATATCGGCCGGACACCTTTAGGCAGCTGCGGTCCTTTCGTTGCATCAAGACCTGCCGTGCTGCTGCGTCAAAGTGCACCGTCAAACCAACCAAAAGTCGATGTGGTGCGACAATAGTTGCAGTTTGTAATATGCTTACAGCAATCACACAAGCAAAAGTTGTTTATGATAGAAAAGTGAACATCAAGGGAAACTAACAGCACCTGGTCGTTGAGACGTTGCATTCCCACGTGTTGACCAAAATCTCAACAACCAACACCACGACGGTGGCTGGCATGCAATGCTCCTTACAAAATGCTCGCATATGTGCCTTGAACAACACTGTGTACGCGCCGAGGACACGCCCACGTACACCCAAATGGACACTCCTAAACTCTTATTGATCCGCGCTCGCCGCAAGGGCGGTCAACTGCCGCGCGTTTCGATTGGGAATGCTGCATGTCTCAGCAGTATGATGTATTCCTGCGCCGCATCACTGCTGCTTGGCTCGGGGAGCCCAAGTTCTAGTTTAAAGGTCACGATGCAGAAGGCACGGCCCAAGCAGCTGCTGCAATCCACCCATTGGTTTAAGCGTTGTCGGCGGCGGCAGCGCCTGCAGCGCTTGCGTTTGACCAGCGCATGAAGAAGAGGCCCGCCAGCGTGGGCGCGACGCCGTACGGCAGGGGCCGGTGGCAGAGGCCGCTGGCTGTGAGGCTTGGTCGGCTGTCACACCTGTAGCCGGGCAGGCCCCAGAACTCTGCAGGACGGGGAATTGTGATGAGGCACAAGTATGGATGACAGAGAGTCAACAGACGAGAACAACGGGGCAAGGGGTCAAGGGAACGGAAAAGTCCCAACCAATCCTGTGCAGTGTCAGGCTGGCTATAACATTGGCAGGGAATGCTGGTTGAGGAAAGCATAGGGGGGCACCTTGAACTTGGTCAAGATGTTCAAGACCAGTGCAAGCACAGGTGCAGACGCCTGTGCAGCACACCTGTGCATGTGGAGTCGTCTGCACACGTGAGGCAGCGCGTGTCGCCTGCAGGCCGCAGCGCGACTGTACAGCCTCGGCTGACCACGCACTGTGAGTTGCGCAACGCCTTCATCACGCAGGTGTCGACTTGGGGCCCCAGGATGCGCAAGAGCGAGTCGAACAGGAGGTGCGGGAAGTGGTGTGAAAAGCTGTCCCACTCGGCGACCTGCAGTGGCCAAATTGGTGGAAAGGGCGGTTGGCATACGCACAATGGAGCCTGCGCAGTAATGTTTGACAAACCCGACGGTACAAATAACGCCAGCCATCCTGTTGCCTCTTCTGCTCTGCGCTCGGTCATAGTGCTGTGTCTCTTGAGCACGCACCGTGGACAAGACAGCCAGCTTCGGCATCAGGGGGACTCGCCAGCGCCTTGCCACGTCATCCTGTTGGGTGCAAGGGGATGGTTTGTCAGCGCGTGCGACCGTGCATGCACGGCGGGCATGTGTCCGTGGGCAAACATATGCTTTGTCCCAACATTCATAAAAGAGACCGAGGGTACCGGCATGCGTCTGAATTCAAAGGGCAAGTGATGGTATACACCATGAGCTAAGCTCTGCCTTACTTTGGAAGTGAATCTAAGTGACCCCAGTACAAAGGGCATGCCCAATACTCATTAAGGCCCCCAGAGCGTTTACTGTCACACGGCTAGCCTCCCACCAGGGCCCCACCCACCTTGGTCTCTAGGTCGTCCTGCCGGGGCCAGGGGGTGACGCCTTTACATGCGTTCATCGTGTCCTGCCCCAGCGGCAGCGCCGCGAGCGCCTCGACGGGGCGCCCCTTTTGGGGGCACGCCCAGAAGCCGCGGCCGGGGAAGCGGAGGCCCATGGCCATGTTGGAGGCCATGTTGGCGTTGTCTGGGCATGGTGGAGGGCGGGGACGGGTTAAGGCACGCGAATGATGATTTGCACTGGCATGAAGAGTTGACTTGTGCGCACGCTTGTGCTCTGACAGGACGCATGGGATGGCTCACCTGCATCGGCTGGATGGGCGGCAAAGCAGCAGACGACAACAATCCAGCGCGCCCTGCGGTCCCTCCCCTGTTTATTACACAAGGCCCTTTGGACCGAGACAAGAAACATGCTGTGCCACAGCGCTCCACCCAGCCGCACACGCCAGCGCGAACTCAACTCCTCTGATCCCTCACTAGTAATGTACTGCTCACCATGCCCGTAGCCGTACCGCAGGGTGACGTTGCCCAAGTGCGAGTCATAGTGCGCCGCAAACCCTGCGCTGCCGACTCTGTCCGAATTGAACAGGAAGACACCGCCAATAGCAAAACTGTGCTGCGATGACAGGCGCAGCGCCATGAGCTGCGCTAGAGCCCCGCCCGAGCTGTGGCCAGTCAGCCAGACGCGTGCAGACGGGCGCGAGGCGGCGTCCATCTGGCGGGGGCGCGTCGCGGGAGAGGTTGGGCGTGCGTGGTGGGGAGCGGCAGGAGGGCGTTGAGGGCGTTTGGGAAGCCTGGACTCTGCCTGCAACCAGCCATGAGCGGTGCCGGCCAGCTGGCTTGGCGCTGGCACAGGCGGCATGGAGCGCAGCAAAGTCAGAACACACGAGTCATGATGCCATGCGGCGGTCTTCGGCTGCGACCTCTTAGCGCCATGCTTCCCACCTGCTGTATCTGTGAACTCACGGCCTCTGCTAGGGCTGTGTCCAGGGCCCTGGCATCGTCGTAGTCTGTAATTGTGAAGAGGGGCCAAAGGAGCAGCAGGGGCCAGAGGGCGATGAGGCACGCGGACAGGATGCCAAAGTGACAAAGAGAGACAGAGGGTGTGCAGGGCCTGGGATGCAAGCAGACACCCTGTTTGGTTTTGGATCTCAACCCTGTTGTGAACTACCAGCACTGCCAAAACGGCAGGGCGGCAGCCTTGAATCAGCCCCTGAATCCCTTACATAAAGGCACCAGGCAGGGTTGGGCGGGCTGCAACAAGGTATCAGGTTGCGGCTCACCCTTCCTGAGCACCCAGAACAGCCGCGGGTCTGCAAACGGCCTTTGGGTGCGGTACGCAGCAAGCGGCAGCTGCGGCGGCGGGGGCCGCTCGGGCAGCGGGGCCCCGAAGAAGGGCGCATCAAAGACAGGCTGCACTCGCGTCGCCTTCGGCAGCTCTGAGAGGCCGTCCATGCCCCTGGTTTCATGGCAGGGTTGGCAAGGAGGGCAGGGCTGGGCTGGAGAGTTGAGGCGCAGATGCGTGACCTTTCTTACCGCGTCCTGCAGATGGAGCGAGCCCGTTGCGGCTGGCACGCCAAGTTATAATCGTGGCCACCAGCAGCCGCCCGTTTATCGCCCCCCGCGCAGAGGAGTAATCCTGGGACGCATGCGGCAACTCCCAACCCCTGGAGACCACCCCCGCAGCTTGAAGCGCTGCCCGGCTGGCCTTCCCACACCTGAAGGAGATGAACACGTCGCGCCGCGTTCTGAACACGAGCGCTAGCCGGTCCCCGCCGCCGCGGCCGCCAACCATCACGGGCGCCCCCACCGCACCCCACGCGGCGAGGCAGGGCGCGCCGTCGCGGCGGGGCGTGGCGGCCACGTGGTCATACACATATGCCATGTCAGCCAGTGCCAGGAACGCGAGTGTGTGGCCCCCCAGCTCAGATGCAGCAGAGCTGGGGAGGGCCTCTAAAAGCGCTGGCTGGCTCGCGCAAGCCGACGCAGGGGTTGACTCGCGAATCTCATGGTGTGACGCCCGCTGCTGGGGAGCTGCGGCGTCTGCAAGGCGCGAAACTCCTGCGATAGTTGGTTTTTTGGGGGGCGGGTGACAGTGGCGAGGAGGTGATCAGTCGATATGAATGGCTGGACTGGAAACGTGATGAGCGGCTGGGGCGAAGGTGCCTGTTGCAAGCAGCTCGTGGCCTGACCTGGTTATGTCAGCCTCAATATTGCGACACGCAACCAGTCCCACCCTCTCACCGGACCAGTGCCACACGAGCAGCAACACGAGGGGCCCAAAGCGTCTGCAGTAGCGCATCGCCGAGATACTGCACGCGCCGCCCGTCCGTATGTTCAACGGGCAACTATCACTTGTATTGAGAAACTTATATTTTTTGCTGGTTTGCAGTCTAAGAACAGCGTATGCGGCTTGGGACGCGCGCGGGCCAGCCTGTGTCAACCTGCGAAGTGTGATGCAACGGACTTGCACGCGGTTTTGGTGTAACGAAACGAGTGCTGGACAATTACAGTCGTTCAACAACATCAGCCCCCTTTGTGTGTTCGAGCGCAGCCCAGCCAACCAAGAGTGACAAAAGGAAGGAAGCGGGTCACCCCCCCCCCCACGTGCTCTGTAGCTGGGCCGTCCCCTATCATAATTGCAGGCTTGGGTGAATGCAAGTTCGCGCCTGGAGGTTTCGCCCGCTCGCTCAGCGCACCTCTACTCGGCAGTCCACCTTCTCACCCAAACGCAAGGCGCACTGCGTGCGGGATGGCAAGACTCTCGTCGCTCGTGGCCGGCCAGCATGCCATAAAGCCACCTGTGCTACAGAAACCTTGGTCAGCTGACGCCACAGCCTACCCACAGGCCCGGAGACGGCCGCCGCTCAGCCGGCGTGCGTGGCTGCACACCTATTTTGTGTACCCACTCTGCTACGACATGCATTGACGCACTCCATCTGTGGTCTGTTACAACCGCACCGCATCCATGTGCGGATCTGAAAGCAACCTGTTGAAGCCATCTGCGCGGGCTCTGGCCTCTCGCAACCGCGCTTCCCGCCCCTCCAGCTTCTCGGCATCCAGCGCCGCTGCCGCCAGCTGCCGCGGCGGCCGCCCCTGCCCACGCCCCTGCCCC